AGGGAAGAGCTCTCACTCTGATCCCATATCCGGGTCTCAAAGCAACGTCACGAAACGCTGTGAGGAAATCCATTAAAAATAGCAATACTAATACATATAATACTCCTAGCTCTTTTGACAGTTTTTTCAGTAGGTTTTGTTTAAATTTTTTTTATACAAATTGCATGATTCCCAATTTGTATCCAAATCTGGTTAAAAAAAAAAAATCTAATCTAATCGTGTTTTTAGTATGTTTTGTATGGATAGCAACGAGTAAAAACTCGGTCCCACGAGTTTATCATTGAGTTTTAGGTAATTACGTTAACAGCAAAATTGTTTAAAATAGTATCAACCAAGGCAGGGTCTGCTTAAGTAACTTAAATGTGAGCATTTAGATGGCTCCTATGCCAAAATGTATTTTAAAGAATTCAATCAAATGAGAGGTCTACGAGAGCACTAAGATATGAAGGTATGTACCAAAGAGGAATGAACGTTAATAGGAGTGAGCCATGCCTGTGAATGGGAGAGGCAGGTGGAAAGGTCAAGATGCAATGAGGAGGTGGGCGAGTTGAAATACTTGGGGTCGACCATGCAAAGCAATGGACAGAGAGGTGAGAAAGAGTTAACATAGGATAAAGATGAATGTCAGGTGATTTTTCCACAGGTAATAGGTCTTGAATAATCAGGTCCTAAATTGTCTTAAAGATCTCACAGTACCATACCGCATAAATAGAGAATTTGTGGTTCTACTAGAGTTTCTAAAAGTGGAATGGGAAGAAGAGCCTTCATCTTTCAGGCCCCTCCACTATAGAATCAGCTCCCTGTTTGGATTCAGGAGACAGACACTCTCTCTACTTTGAATATTAAGCTTAAAACTGATTTTTTAAAAAGGTTATAATTAGGGCTATATCAGGCAACCCTGAAATTTCCCTTAGTTATGCCGCAAAAGGCCTAGACTGCAGGGAGCTTCCCATGATACACTGTTTCTTCTTCAATCACCTCATTTTCACTTTTTGTGTTTATGCACCACTTTGCATTCAATCATAAGTTATTATTAATCTCTGGCTCTCTTCCACATTAGGTTTTTTGTCCCTTCTTCCTCTTCTTACCCCCAACTGGTCACAGGAGATGGCCACCTCTCCCTGAGCGTTTCTACCTGTTAAAGGGAGTTTTTCCTTTCTACTGTTGCCAAGTGTTTGCCCAGAGGGCGTTGTATGATTGTTGGGGATTTATTCCAGGGACTTTATCTTCCAATATAATATTCCAATGCTTTTTTGAATTGGTGCTATATAAATAAAACAGAATCAAATGGAATTGGTGACAGGAGGATAGCAGCAAGAATGAAACGGGAGGGGAAAAAAAGACAGGAGGCAGAAGTGGAGGTGACAAAGTTAAAGTTAGTGACCAAGAGAAGGAGGCACAGCTTAGGCTGAATAGTTTGGAGACAAAGTTAGAGAAAAAGGCTGGGTATATTGGGATAGACCACAGAGAAGGATCATGGATGTAGTGATGGGCATGTGTGACTGAAGAGGATGCTAGAGATCTGATCTGATTAAGATATAGGCAACCTAACTTCTTCATAATATTGTGAGTTGTGACCCGTGTTTTGTGATGGTGAATCACAATCATGTAGATGTCATTAACAATAGAGTGGAGCCTCGTGGTAATAACTGTGACAGGCTTTTCATGGTCATTGTACCAACATGTCAATTACAAGGTTTCAATAGGAGTGAGTACTGAATGGAAAAGCACAAACATCACTTGTACTTCTTTTATTTCAAAGCCTTTCCTTTACAAAGCCAGGATTACTTACTGTAACAGTGCTTTGTTAATGAAGCTGAAGAGCATACCTTTCAGAGGATACTCCCAAAACACAGGTAGAGCACACACTGATATTAAAAAAAAAAGAAAAAAAGAAAGTACTTTTTGAGGTAGCCACAAGGACAGCATCAGTACTACATCTCTGACCTGACCCACTGAGAATTAGTAAGGCCTTTTCATAAAACACATAACCAACAGCAAGGCACAGGAGGGAGTTTGGGGTCAGAGGTCACCTCATGTAAATTTGAGGCTTTAACTTTTGTGAGAAGAAATTCTGTTCTTACACAACTCTTTTTTTTAAACTTCTCTGCACACACAAAGTCACAAGGTAAAATATCAGCACCTAAAACAACATCAGAGATTTCTGAAACACCACAACCAAGAAATGAGCTGTGATAAAAAAGTTTAGGTCTGAGATGGAATTCAGTTATGTTCAGCTCCATGCTTCACTTTGTGATGTACAGAACAGCATTAAAACAAAATACAAAGCTAAAAACGGCAATTTACTCAAATTTAATGGCACCAACTTGCTTAATTATTACTGAAGCACTACACAGTGTCAGGTATTATGACATAGATACAGTGGTGTGAAAAAGTGTTTGTCCCCTTCCTGATTTCCAAGTGTTTTACATATTTGTTATACTTGTCACCTATTAAACCAAGATAACCTGAGTAAATGCAAAATGCAGTTTTTACATGATGATTTCACTGATTAAGAGAGAGAAATTATCCAAAAGTAGTTGCCCTATGTGTTAATCATGAATTTACTGCGATTAACCACATTTTTTGGAAAGCTGAGTTCAGTTTCACTAAATAGACTCCGGCCTGACTACTGGCAGACCTGTTGAATCAAAAAAATCCTTAACTATAATCTGTCTGACAAAGTGAAGCAGGTTAAAATATCTCAAAAAGCAACACATCATGCCACAATCCAAAGAAACACCTGAGCAATAAAGTCTGGGAAGGAATGCAAAGCCATGTCTAAGGCTTTGGGCCTCCAGTGAACCACAGTGAAAGTCATTATGTCATATGGAGTAGACTTGGAACAGTGGTGACGTTTCCCAGGAGTGACTGGCCCACCAAAATGACTCCAAGTGAACAGCAAGGACTCATCCAGGAGGTCACAATAGAATCCAGAATAAAATTAAAGAATCACAGACTTGTCTAGTTAAGGTCACAGCTCATGATTCAACAATAAGAACCAGACTGGGCAAAAATGGCATCCATGGGAGAGTTCCAGGAGAAAACTACTGCTGACCAAAAACAAGAGAAAGACTCATCTCACATCTGCCAAAAACATCTTGATCATCCCCAAGAGAGCTAGGAAAATGTTCTGTGCAGCATTTCAGAATAGGAACATCATACCAACAGTAAAATATGGTGGTGGGCTGTTTTGGTGCCTCTGGGTCTGGAAGACTCGCTGTGCTAAATGAAACCAGGAATTCTGCCGTCTGCCAAAACATCCTGAAGGAGAATGTCCGGCCATCTGTTTGTGACCTTAAGCTGAAGCGCACTTGGGTTCTGAAGCAGGACAATGATCCAAAACACACCAGCAAGTCCAACTCTGAATGGCTTTGGAGTGGCCTAGGCAAAGTTAAAAAAGCAGTTTCTGCTCTAAAACCCTCCAGTGTGGTTGAATTACAACAATTCTATAAAGATGAGTGGGACAAAACTCCTCCACAGCACTGTAAAAGTCTCATTGCCAGTTATTGCAAACACTTGATTGCAGTTGTTTCTAGTAAGGGTGGCCCAAACAGTTACTAGGTTTGGGTGGCAAACACTTTTCCCACACAGGGCCATGTAGGTTCCCCTAAATAATAAACACTTTCATTTAGAAACTGCATCTTGCATTTAGTTGGGTCATCTATGCCTAATATTTAAATTTGTTTGATGATCTGAAACATTTAAGTGTGACAAACATACAAAAAAAAGGAAGCGAGCAAACACGTTTTCACACCACTGCAGATCTATCGTTGGGGCATGAACACTGTATTTAGCAGTATATAAATGATTACAGGCCAAAATTACTTGAACTGAAGCTGTGTTAGGTGTAGGCAGTCAGATTCTCAGGAGCCAGGGAGTGATCGAGATGACAAAACACAACACAATCCAATTTTTTTTTTAAAAAGAAAAAAAAAAGAGCTTTTACTCTGGGAGTGTTACTGCCATCGCCATGCATTCCTGCTCTACGTCATAATCACCGTGAGGAAAAGGGTTGACAATGGAGGTCTAGAAAGCTACACAAGTTAAAGTGACAGAAAATAAAAACAAAACAGAAGCTTTCACATTGCTTGAGAAATGCTGTCCAAATTCCAGATCAAGTAAAACTGAAATACACAAGAAAAGAAAGAAACCAAGTGCTACAGAAAAGACAGGAGGCCCAATTCTGACTGAAAGCCAAGTCCAACTTCATCAAATCAGATTCTCAGATAAAATAAGCAGCTACACCTGATTTAATGACAGGAACGACAGAAAGTTAATCAAGGAAACAGTTAGAGCTGCACAACCACAAAATAATGATTTCCAAAAGGTTTAAGATAAAATATGCAATGTCAAAGCCAGCAGGCATCCTCAGACACAAATCACAGCAAGTGTCACTATTTCACCATCCAGTGAGTCTGGGAGAGTCATGCCCAAAGTGCGCTTTAACAACAAGGCTACATGATATGAACTACTTCACTCTATATAACTAATCTGTTACAGTTTAATACAGACTTTCTACAGTTAAAATCCAGTTGTGCAGCCTTGATGTATGACATAATTATCCCACTGAATCAATGAATGAGATCTGTGAAGTAACATTGCACATCCCGGGGCCAGATCTCAGTGGGGGTGGGGGGTGGAAAGAAGGGGGTGTTTCTGTCAGAACTGGGTCGACAAACTGGGGAAATGTGAGCTGGAACCAACCCGTTCCCTGATTTAAATAACCTTTGTCAAAGAAGGCAAATTTACAACTTCTTATAAAGAAAAAGGACTCAAGAAAACAATTCAATATAAATGAGAAAAGCACAGATAAGCTTTAGAATACAGAGAGGAGAATATGTGAAGGAAAATAAAATGAGCAGTTTACTGCTGGATGTTTCATATTAATCCATAATGCAGACTTTTATGTGTGCTACGTGAAACCTATTGTGACCAAGTAAGAAAAAAAAAAATCAGAGAAAGAACCATTATGATTACAGTTTCCCCCAAATGTGTCTTCTATAATAATTTTAATAACCCTACCCCTATAAGGTGCATTATTAGGAGTCACATTTGGGGTTACAGGTTATAATATCTGCCACATTAGAGACCACTTGCTGCGTCCGCATGTGAACAACACAAGCAGCATTTTGCTCCTGTGTTTATCTGGTTTTTCCTCACATTTTGCTCCAATGTCAGAATGCTTCCAGTTCTTTTAAAGCTTACGTTACAATGAGACTGTAACAGAATCAGGCCTAGCAAAGCAAGAAGCAAAGAAGCAAGACAAACTTTGAAAGCAGATTATACTGTGAAGTGTCATTATTAACAATTAAAGATACAGCTTAAAAAAAAAGGGGGGGGGAGGTTTGGCTACTTGTGATTAAGTGCAATTTCTCTTGTGTGGTAAGAGCTGGAGAGGCTAGTTGGTATATGGAGGTCACTTAGTGGAAGTGTTGTTGGCAGTGAATCTTCCCCTCAGCTTGGTCCATAAGCTCCAGCATCTCCTGGATGACGGCCTGCAGTGCACGACCCAGGTCTTCTTTACTGTAAGGCTTTCCAAGAGGAGGCACATGAATAAAGGCAGAGCGGCCGTGGCTCAGGTACAGAGAGGTGTAGTAGGTAAAATCACAGAGATACCTGTCAAAGAAGGGAGCACGGTATTTAATAAATGAAGAGACTGACTCCATAACACAAACAAACAATAAAACAGCATTTCCATGACGCAAACTCGCCTCTCAGCTGAGCCACTCAACCGTGCACATACCTTCAAAGGGCCCTGATCACTACCTGTCACACTGAAGCATTGTTATGTCACTGCTAGATCTTGACAGCAGTAAACATATTTTGCCTTTTCCCAAAGGCCAAACTGCATAATGTGACTACTGTTTATATCATTACTATAGCCTGACAGCTGTCAGTATATCAGAAACACTGCTGTTTGTGGCCTAGCAGCACAATTTCAGGCTGCCTCTGAAATGTAAAGCTTAAAGCTTCAGTCAAAACTTCTAGATTCAACTAAGACAGACTTTACTTCAAGTAAAGCATCAGTTTAGAAGCTTAAGTGCATTTATCACTGCAACTAGCTAATTTGTCAGCCTAGTGTAGAAACTTTCAAAAAGCCTAAATTCAAACCATGAGAAAATATAAAAATAAACTCCAGAAAGCTCAGATTCAAGTCAAAGTTCTCTGTCTGTTCATCACTGGGAACTTTGTTTTCGATCTCTCATTATAGTAAAAATAGTGATTACAGTTTCTTTCAAACATTTGCCTCAAAAAACAAAAAAAAATATTAGTCAGGCTCCAAAAATAGAACTTCAGCAGAAAACGCTGATATTTACAATCATAGCAACATATCTGTGCCGAGTTCTGAGCTAGCCATCTCTATTTAAAAGTACCGCCATGTGAGCAGTACATGCAACAGTTGGACGGATAAAGATACACAACTTGGTAAAAGAGAAAAAACACATTAAATAATGACCTCCCGGCATCTCTGGAGACAGACACGGCTACTCCCAGCCCTGATGCATTCACTCTTTTGCAGACCGATTCCATGTCAATGATCGAGTTGATGCAGTCTGGGCCTCCAACAACGCAGCACTGTGAATCGGGGCAGAAGCTGCTGTTGTCCAGGCCCTTGTAACCATGATTTCTTCCACACTTCTCCAGCGTGACAGTTGTGGCCATACCCGAAACTCCAACATGAACTACCAACTGTCCAACAAAGAAAACAATAAAAACACAAAGTCAGAATGACTAGACTATTGTAGGCTTCCCTTACACCTGAGGCATCCATGCTCTCGAAACAGGGCCTAGGATTATTTTACTGAAACAAAAAAAAAAGCAAGGAAACTCAAGATAAAAGCTCAAGCAGAATTTTACAATGTAGCCCCTTCATAGCGAGCTTTTAACAAAGGCACTTTCAAGCCCATAATTCATCGTATTGTTCATTGGGGCTTCTAACTCTTAAAGCAGCGGTCCCCGACCCCCGGGCCATGGACCAGTTGTTTGGTACCGGGCCGCAAGAGTTGAGGCTCGGGTGTGAAATTCATGATTTCAGTTTTTAGCGCTATTTTTTTTTTTTAAATAGTTTTTATGGTTAAGTCTGTGTCCCTGGGTCTTTTCCCGTGTGTTACGAATACATCTTCTTTTTTGGTACTGGTACTGGTTTTATTTTGTTGTATTTATCTGCAACACCTTAAAGGCCGGTCCGTGAAAATACTGTTGGACATAAACCGGTCCGTGGCGCAAAAAAAGGTTGGGGGACGGCAGTCTTAAAGCGCAATAATGCTGTCAGGTTAAATTAGGCTCTCCTCTTACCAGTGGATGATACTGCTTCCATAATGAAGGAACCAAACTCTGGACTTGTTGGTACTCAACAGGAACCTCGTGTACATGCAGATCCACATCACTGCCCAGCCCGAGCTTCTTCAGTTCCTGTCAGAGTAAAATTAAAACCTGAAGTTTAGAAATCATTCCACATGTTGAAACATCAGTTTCAGCTTCTTCAGTTAAATTTAGATAATTTACAAAACTTGCAGTAGATAAGCCATGAAATGCATTCGTCATGCGGAGCTACGCGATGTGGCGACCCCTTGTGAATAAAAGAGCAGCTGAAAGTAGCTTTACAGGATACTGTAGGCTGCCTCCTTTGCCTATGCTCTTATCATTTTTACTTCATGCTCACTGACAGCTAATTTCCCTGCAAAATATGTCTCCACGTATTTTGAATTTTTGGTCACTTGGGAAAACCTCTTAATGCTTTGCCATTCCCAAATGGTATAATTTTACAGTCAACTTGGCAAACAGAATGAACAAATACTTCAACCCCAAACTCAGGCTTCTTCAAAAGCAAAATCAAGAAATAAAATATGCCAAACACTGACTTCACATATAAAAACAAACAAATCTGTATCAAATTCAAAGCCAGTAACCCAACAGCTCCCCCAGTCTCCCTGCAGGACAAATAGCCCTGGACACTGACCTCCCAGCTGTATTGAAAGGAGGCTTATTTGACCAAGTCTGTGACCCTGCACCAATGTGCCCTTTTGTTTGCCTTTAATATCCTTATCAAGTCCGTCTAGACACCCTGACAACCACCATCATCCCTCCACACAAAACCTCTGACGAACACTGCTACATAGTACGAAGCCGGCCGTCAGCATCGCAGAACTGCCGCACAAACATCTTCCAAGTGTCGGCAAAAACCACATGACAACCTACAAGACTTTTGAAAAGCATTTTTGGAGCAAGTTTAGTATTAAAAAAATATATAATATATATCAATATATATATTTATATATAAATAATATATTATATATATATATATATATATATATATATATATATATATACAGCACACACACACACACACACACACTCACACACACACACACACACACAACACACACACACACAACACATCTAACACACTTTAACTGTATGGCACATTAACTTGTATCAAATAGACTTTTTCAAAAGTCATTTAAGTGTAAATACCAATTCTGCAAATTATTACCTCTTTATTAGATGCTGAAAAAATGAAACAAACAAACAAAGAAAGCCAATAAATACCTGTACTGCTACCCAGCTGGCGTTGACAGTGTGCTCTCCAAATGGCCCGAAACCTGCAAAAGATGTCAGCTGCTGAATTAATGTGGATTATGTTTGTGGTGTCTGCAAAAACAGACTTTTTTATAAGATTTATTTATTTGTTTAAATACTTCTACTGATATGACCTTAAAGGTAGTTTCTAATGGAAAAAGGGGGCCGTTAAAGATTTGGGTTGACTGAGATGCTGATTTGCAATATAAAGGTATACATTTCGTCTTTTATGTCAAATGCAATATCCTTTTCAGTAGCATAACTGAGATGTAATTACCTGTTGTTTGAAATTATAAACTGTTGTTTTGAAGAATGTACCTCATTATTAATCAAAATAAAGACCTGCTGATGCACAACTGCAAATGAAAAACGGTAAAATCTCAGCAGCCCATGGAAATTCACTCGGGGCTGTTTATATAAGGCTCTACCACGGATTCCCCCGCCCCACTGTCTATCCTAGGGTCACTGGGTCCCTGGGGGTTGGGTGGAGAGGGGATCAGTCAGTCTGACAGGCTGATGAAAAGGAGCAGAGTGAGGGGCCGGCAGCTGCCAGCCAGCCTGCTATTGTGAAGGTGCTGTTCCCAGGCAATCTACACTTCTCCTATCAGCTGGGGAGACACGTTTCTGCACCCCTTTGTGTCTATAAACAGCAAATTAATGTGTCTGTTCTGCCAAACGTCACCATTTAACACTGCTGTTTGCACTAACGAAAATATGTTCATGTAGCTGGACTTGAAATTGCATCGGAGTGTGATTTAGATAAACAAATATGTGCATACACAGTACTTATCATATTAACAAGTATTATAAATTGGTGATTATTACATAGGGATGTAACTTTGAATCGCAAGTGATGCAAAATAAGTTTTCTGAAATACAACACAGAGACTGGTTGATGAACAGCAGCTCTAAGTCTACACTAGCACACCATAATGCAAAATAATGAGACTAAACAGGATGAACTAGCATAAAGAAACTCATTCAATAACTTATCAATAGTGGAACCTAGTCACCATCTGGGAATAGGATATGTATTTTTAGCCACAGATCTATAAAGGCATCACACACAACAACTGGACAGAGGAAGATACGAATAATTCAAAGCAATAAAGAATAAAAAAACAATAATTTAGGCTAAAAGGTTCATTATTAAAATCTCTCTGTATTGTGTTTTCACCTTTATCTTTTGTTCATCTATCTATATTTTGTAGATAACTGACATAACTCCTATGATATCAGTTTTTTTAAACTGAAATAATTTCAATAATGTCCCAAGTCACAACTAACAACATCTAATATTTATGAAAATATATGCATTATTACCTTTGCTGCCATATGGTATTGTGCTCAGTATTAGTGACTAATACTTCAGATGAACACGAGCTATTTGAAAGCATTTAGAAACAAATATGATACCGTAGCCATAGAGCAAAACAAATGTGTAGACAACACAAAAGGCGCTTGTTTTTGGAGGAGTAATTTGTTTACTGTCTGCGGCCTTTCAGCTGAAGTCATCTAAAACAATGGTGAGACCACCGAACCGGCCTGTAGCGTCAATAATGCATCCCCCCCAAAACTCTAAAGGGTCAAAACTCCCACAAAACAACTCGTTCCTTTCTGTACAGTTGCAACAGAGTGGAGCAGGAACGACCTGACGCCATTAATGGAGCAGCTTTAGTCTCCTCAACTTTTCCTCAACAGACAAAAGAGACAACGACAGCGGATAAAAGAGCCCAAACCTGTAACGACCACAGCCCGGTTACTGTTATCCATCTCCCGTCCCGTTCACGAGGAACCGTTGCCTCTTTTTCTCGGTCTTTACTTTGAACAGGGTTAGAACGAGAGTCTACCCCGCAGAGCTGACGGCTCCTTCTCCCACACACAGACCAAACCGGAGGTACTCCCTCCTTCCGCAGGCAGCCTAAAAGACGTGACGTGATTACGTCAGCAAACCCCCCGAAAAGCTACAAAAATGTATACAAAGGCAGTATACATTTTTGAAAGATTTTTTTAAATTGCTCATTTATTTATTTGTTTCATTAAAAAATATAAATCCATTCATTGCCTGCGCTGAAGATGTAACTTCAAAAATGAATATTATTTTAATTTTCTATTAAACTATTTACATTACTGTGCAAAGGTCTTGAGCTACCCGTTTTTCTTTATATTTTGCAAGTAAAATGGGAAATAGGTGCAGATATATATCGAAGCATGTGCAAACATACATGAAAATACAGAATATAAAGCAAAAAACAGAGTCTATACAATTCTAACCAGCATGAAAGTCAATATTTACCTTTACAACTTGAACTCTATTAAGCTTTCTCGTGACCTTTTTTAATATGGCTGTTTTATACTTAAATGATATAGGTCAGTGTAAGTGGTATAAGAAAGAAAAAAAAAACAAAAAGCATTTCTCTGAAAATGGTCAACTATTAGGATGGACTGTAAATGAGTTAAAAAGCAATGAATTTCTAAGGAAAAACTTTGAAAGACCTTCAGAAAGCCTGGAGAGCTGTTGCTAATAACTGCTTTAAAATAAGAAGAAAGTGGTTATGGTTGTATTTTACATTATAATGATGAACAATGTGTTGAACTCAGTGTGTTTTTGGCTGTTGACCTGCTTTTGGATTTCATGTAAATCCTGTGTCTCATATCTGAAAACTTTTCAGTTATTTGGATCATTCGCCTCCATTTCCCAGTGTATTTGTTGACTTTAACGATCAGTAGTTTCAAACAATTGGTAAGGGACTAACAATGTAAGAAGAAAGAAGAATAAAATTCTTTAAATAACTAATCTAACTGTTTGCTCACCACCAGAACGCCATACAGTCTCCGGTTATCAGTTTTAAAATCTGGGAGAAAACATGGTTCAGATAAAGGGGATTCTCTGCTAAATTAAACACCCACTAGTAAACTATCTTTATAAATAAAACAAAATAAGTATACCTTAAGTATATCTTGGGAATAGGAGAGATGCAGCTAAAATAAAATAAAAAATGCAATTTTAATATTTGATCTGATTATTTTGATGATATTTTTTACTTTACTTATTCTTATTCCTATCCCTTTAAAGTGGCAAACACGAAAAGAGATGCACATTTTAATCTTCGCACCTTTCATTTGTGCTCATTTGATATTGGAAATGCGTGTTTCTGACAGTAGGGGGCAGCATCATATAATACAGCCATGAATGCGCCTCGCCACACCGGAAGACAAAGAGTAAAAGTAGGTGGGAAAATCGTGCTAGCAAGTAAGACACTAAAAGAAAAAAAAAGAAACAATCAAGAAACCATCAAAATGGTGAGTTGTTAAAACTTTTATTATCTTCAGTGGCACTGAGTGCTAGATTTTCAGCTAGCATTTTCAGTGCTAGCAGCATCGCCTTGCCTCTCCATACGCGGTCCGTTAGCTATGGGAAGTTAGCTTAGCAGCTAAATTAAGCATCGTTTACGTAAACTAGTCGTTTTTAATAAGCATATATATGCAGACTTAACACACAGCTTTGGAAAGCTTTTAGGCCGTGCTCCACTTGCTGAGGCGGGGATTTATTATCTCGTTTAGCTCCATACTCTTGCAGCTGTAAGGTTACTGACAGTTCAGTGGAGTCGGTGAGTAAACGACGTAGACATAAAGGCACTCTTAAAAAACCTGAACATAAAAGCACCTTCATGTCTTTACGCCAAACACCGCGGCTATGGAGACGTTTTCTCTGGAATAAAACACTCCTGGCTGTTTTATGCACTCTCGCTTCAGTGCTCACTTCGGCAAATGCTGTTGATTACACATTTTTTGCCATGTTTGACCTGCTTCTCTGTTGTTTTGCAGCTTCCCCTGTCTCTGCTGAAGACTGCCCAGAACCACCCTATGGTGAGACTAACGTGGACCATGTATACAATTTTATATAACAGGCTGTAAAATAATAATAGTCATGAGGAGAGAAAGTGACATCTCAAGATTTCTTACATGTAGAAAGCAGTGAATTGTAAATGTGTGAGCAGAAAATGATTCAGGTTTCTTTTGAAATTTATACTGTATATAATTGTGGATTCAGCTCTGACTGTCTCATTTTATTTTGCTAAACTATCGCCCGTCCTAATTTCTTTTTAGAACTTTAATTGGCACAAGTTCAGTTTATTTTTTGTAGTGAGTATTGAAACTTTTAATACAGCTGTGAATTCTGAAAACATTGTAAGACAAGCTTTCCCCCCTCGTCTTTTCTCTCTGTAGTTGGTGGAGCTGAAGAATGGAGAGACGTACAACGGTCACCTGGTCAGTTGTGATAACTGGATGAACATCAACCTGAGAGAAGTCATCTGCACATCCAGGGTAACACTGACCTTGCTCTTACATTAAAGCTCTAGATTAATGACTGATGGTTAAAAAAGACAGTTTTCAGTGATTACTTGAAGCTTTCATTGTTGTGTGCAGAGTTATCATTTTATATAAAGGCTGAGTAAGTTATTCACACTTTTTGGTGGATACACCTGCTGGCTGTCTGTGCTCTGGTGTTTGTGCACAGCCCTGCTTTTCTCTAACTGTTCCAAAAACACTGATTTGGACTGAGCCACACATTAGTCTAGATAAATAGGTACAGGGAATTTTGAATGGAATGACAGTGAACTTTTGGATTTTTTTCCCCCTTTTGCTGTAAATACACTACTAAAGTATTGTTTCAGTACAGATATTTCTATATATGTAGCTGTTCGGTCTTATGAGAGAGTGCTTTTTTTTTTCTTTTTTTTTTAATCTGAGTTAATTGTTAAGCCAATTTGATGAACCAACAGCCCCACTCCACCTCTCACAGGATGGAGATAAGTTCTGGAGAATGCCTGAGTGCTACATCCGAGGAAGCACCATCAAATATCTACGAATCCCAGATGAAATCATCGATATGGTGAAGGAGGAGGTGGTGTCGAAGGGGCGTGGACGTGGAGGCGCCCAGCAGAACAAACAGCAGGGCAAAGGAAGAGGAGCAGGTGGCCGAGGTGAGAGGAAGCAGCTTTTGTTGTACGTGCTGGATGTAAACATGGGAGAGTACCGAGTATTGTTTCCACATTTCTGTCAGTTCTTTCCAGAGTGTTCATAAGTTAACAAATTTACACCTGATAAGTGTAAAAATAAATTATCTAAGTTCAACTTTAATTTCACTGAGGTTAAAAAATTATCGAATCCCTAACCAATCTAGGAACCCATGACTATTATCGTAATCATAGCTGAAATTTCTGACAGCTTCTACCACATACATTTATGCAGGATTTGACCAACAGGAGCCTCATAACTTTTTCTTATAAGTGTTTCATTTAAAGTCTTTTCATATCTACTACCTTCCTTTTTTGGTTCACATGAGAGGATTTGGGCTGCTTCACATCAAAACCTGATATGATTTGTAAAAGATATCAAACAGATCTTTCCAGTTGGGCAGCACGGTGGTGTGGTAGTTAAAAATGTGGCCTCTCAGAATAAAGGTCCTGGGTTTGATTGCATTGTGGTTTCTGTAGGCCTCTAAATCTGCTCGCAAAGTTGGACATCCACAAATATTTTGGGGATTTGAAGGATCTATGTTAACTTAAGATACACTCTTGAAAGTCCGTACTGCTAGAGCAGTAGTACCAGATATTTCCCTATTTCCCTAGACCTAGCTAATGTACCTTTCTTAGAAAATGAAGTTTTGATTCCCAAGTGCATCTTTCACCCCCGATTTTCTTTTTCCTCTGACAAACCCGTGATAGTCAGGTGTGAGGCATTTCCAGTTATTAAACATATATTGATCTTTACTTGGTGTTGGTGGCAGGTTCTTTATAACTTTAAATTTTTTCTGTTTTCAATGTCAGATACCAATTCTCCTTAACTGCATTATTAATTCTATTTATTTTTTTTCTGTGAATTTTAAATATTAAGATTTGGTCATGTTTACAGGGGATTGGGAATACTTTCTGTTACCTGCTCTAACACAGACTTTCTCTTGTATCTTCTCTGTAGGTCTGTTTGGCAGCCGTGGCCGAGGGATGACTGGCCCCGGTCGGGGTCAGCAGCAGCAGCAGCAGCAGTCGGATAAGAAACCAGGAAAACCACAGGGAATGAAGAACCAGCACTGAAGGACGACGCTGCACCTCTGACAACATCCTGTTAATCAGTGATTCTTCCTTCTGCACATGAAGAAAAAAAAGTCTCTGTGGTGTGTTTTTTCTGCTGTGATCTTTGTTAGGACTGATTGTCGCAGAAATCTCACTGTGAGACGTTAAGAGAAGCCGTGCTTTTGCACTGAATTTTGTTTTTTAACATCTGGAAGTTGATATTAACATTTTTTTATGAAGATGCCAGTGTATCGGCCAGAGCTGGCAGACTCCTCCTTTAGCATCAGTTTGTATATCGTTATAACAAGAACATTTTGTATCATAAACCACATTATCTAAATTCCACTTTGCATCTGTTGGTACACTGGGAAAACATTTTTACTTTTAGTTTTTGACGGTTGTCTCCTCAGGTGTAGTTTTCATGGTGTAGTGGCTCATCTTCTGTTGCAAGAATACTTTGTTTTCCTTGTTGTTTGTGAAGTTTGTGGTTTGAGACCTTTCTTCTTTTTTTGTCTGCTTGCTCTGCTGTGGGGTCAGTCACAGCAGGTGAACAGCAGACTGATAACCAGGAGACACAAATTCAGTCCCTGTAAATTAACACTTCTGTTAAAGCGTTTGTAAGACAACCAGTTAGAATATACAGACAAAAAGATTCTCATATTCTTAAGTCTGAAATGGATAGAGTCCAACATGTGACGTGTTGGTTGGGTTTCATTTTATTTTTGTAACAAAAGACGATATTGTAATTTATTTACAGGAGAACATGAGAATAAAACAGCTTTTGTTAAAGGAGTTGTAATTATTTTGAAATAGTCCTCATGTCTGAGTC